TCACACGATTTTCTTTAACAATGTGTTGGTTTGCTTGTTTGTTTCCTCATGGACACTAAGGCCATGCTGATAACATTCCAGAAAGATGTATGGATGTGACTGATGCATATCATGTAGTCAGGGGCAGACCAGTTCAGTTGGTTGATGGGCCCTCCTCTTATCCTGCATAAGTTCAGGCTGGATAATATAATAGTAAAAGCTACAAGTTATTGAGTGGCAGCTGTGTCAACAGCCTTGACCTTTTTGCACATATTCTCCCAAGAACTCTAAAAGGACAGAGTCATTATTTCTACTGTACAGATTGGAGCCCTGTTATTGTTTAGATATGGAGTGTCTCCTAAAATCTCATGTGTAAGACAATGTAAGAAAGCTTAGAGGTGAAATGTTTGGGCTATGAGAGCTTTAACATAATCAGTACATTAATCCACCGATATGGATTAACCAGGTGGTAGGGAGGAAGATACGGAGTAACTGGAGGAGGTGGGTCACTAGGGGCATGACTTGGGGTTTATATTTTTGCCCCTGGTAAGTGCAGTTCTCTCTGCTTCCTGATTGCCCTGTTCTAAGCTGCTTTCCTCCTCCGCATCTTTTTGCCATGGTGTTCTGCCTCACCTTGGGCCCAGAGGAATGAAGTCAGCCCTCTGTGTGACGAGACCGATGAAACTGGGAGCCCCAAATAAACATTTCCTTCTCTAAAGTTGTTCCTTGTTAGGTCTTTTGATTCATAGTGACAAAAATGGTGACTAAAACAAGCCGGCTCTTATAATATCCTCATATATCACAGATGGCTTCATGATAATGCAGTGGACTATGGCTATCTTTCTCTAAAATAAATCTGTTCTAAATAAATCTGCTTTTATATAAGCTTAGTGCCTTGAATACATTAATGACTACATAAATATGCTTATTGACTCAGTGAAACTAATATTTAGTCACTTTTCAAAGAGAACTTGTCATTTCTCTATAGTAGCAATTCTCCACTGGAAGTGATTTTTGTCCCCCCGCAGACATTTGGAAGTCTCTCAAGATGTTTAATTATTGCAACTCGGGGAGGAGGTGTTGATATCTAATGGTCCTATCAGGCAGAAGTCAAGGATCCTTCTAAACCATCTACTACACACAGGACAGTATCCCCAACCTACCCCAAGAAAAAGTTACCCAGATCATAATGTCAATAGGATGAGGTTGAGAAATCCTGATCTATGTATACCCAAGGTCAACTGATAGGTCATCCTTTATTTGTTGATATCTAACTTATAGAACATCAAACTTAAAAAAAGAAGATGATTAAATCCCATAAAACGTAATAGTAAATTGTATACTAGAACCAACCAAAGAGGCATCCTTTACATTCCAAAATCCAGGAAAATGCCAAACTCAGTCTTAGGCATGACAGTTAATTTTAAGCTATAATGTGACATGAAAATCCAATCATGCCAGTATAAAAATTGGTTGCCCCCTAAGGCCAAGACAAAGACATATCTGCAATTCTCATAATAAGCTGCCACAGCACAGAGCATACGTGGGGGTCCTATGGGAGCTAATGCCCATGCAAGATGAGAGTACCTTTTTTAAAACATATGAGGTCCTGAACAACTTAGCAAGACTCTATCTCAAAATAAAAGATAAAAAGAGCTGATGATGTGGCTCAGTTGTTGAGAGTCCCTGGATTGAAACCCTGGTAAAAACAAACAAAACAAAACAAACAACCATATGAAGTAATCACTTGCCAAGAAAGATACTCTACAGTCTAGAGAGTCAAATTCAAACCTGAGCAACTAAAACTAAAAGAGCAATGTTTCAACTTTTAAAAACTTAAACAAGCATTTAAATATGTTTGCAGAAATAAATATCTTATAAATAATAACATAGCATTATGAAATCAGAACAGACAGATTTGAAAAACAAGGGCCCTAATATTTTAAGATAGCTATTGAGCCAGGCACTGTGGCACATACCTGTAATTCCAGAGGTTTATGAGGCTGAGGCAGGAGGATCTCAAGTTCAACTAAGCAACTCAGTGAGACCCTGTCTCTCAATAAAATACAAAATAGGGCTGAGGATATGGCTCAGTGGTTGAGTGCCCCTGAGTTCAATCCCCAGTTCCTCCACCCCCCAAAAAACAGCCATTGAAATAAGAAACTCAATAGATAAGTTAAACAGGACACTAGATAGGAATGAAGATAAACTTGGCAACTTGGAAGAAAAACCTAGAATTTGTAGGCAGATGGGAACCAACAGAAAGCATGGCACTATTCATATTAGTAAAAATATTAATTCAAGGTAAAAATCAACTGAATGAAAAGCTATATTATCAAAAGGAGCCCATCAAAAAAATTTCTACTAACCATAAACTTTCATATACTTAACAAATGTAGTTGAAATACATAAAATGAAATAGAGTTATCAGGAGAATTGATAGATCTCTAAGTCACTTCTCTTAAAACTGAGAGATCAAGCAGGCAGAAACAGTGTAAAGAACTAGATGATCTGGATAACAATACTGACAGGCTTTGTTGAAGGAATACACATGCAAACATGCATACACATGCATAAAAAATTTGTGAGTACATACATACTACGTACACATACATGCACATTCATCAATGTGTGCATACACAAAGATATGATGCTCCATAGATGTTTACAAATAAATACATATGTGTATATTATAACATTATATGGATATTTACATAGAATCAGATACCACACAAATAGAAACCACCCATTCCTCTCACAAGGAAAAGTTGAACCTGTACCAAGAAGGAAATTTCAATAAATTCCAAGAAACTGATATCATACAGACCATGTTCTCTGTCCACAATAACATAAAAATTATGATCCAACACAACAAAAATGAGAGCAATTGGAAATGAAAAAATACATATTGAAATAATTCATGGATTAAGGAATAACTCATATTTCTTCATCATTTGCTTTTGCCACTTACTAATCTATCATCATATTTCTCCCATTGTGAAAGACTGTTCTAAAATGTGACTTGGAGGGTAGTATCACATTATAACATATGAATGGCATATAATTTACTTAGCCAGTCCCTTATTTGGCACATTTATATTATTCTTGATTTTTTGCTGTTATAATAATACTGTAATGAATATGAAATTATTAATATTAATTAACATTAATATTTCACTTCATTGTTCACAAATAATATTTTGCAACATTTATGTTCCTCCTTAATCAGAATATTCCAATTGGAAACCAGCTGTACATTTCATCGGAGGGAAGAATAGCCATATTGCTCCAGGAAAAAGTAAACCAGGTGATGAAGATTTGTGTCACCATTTCAAAAATTGAGAAAGGGGTACAGTAGAACAGATACTGCACTATCACTACCAGCATCACATACAGATCTCATATGTCAATATATAAGTGACAGACTTCTAAATTGAAGTGAAAACTATATTACTAAAGTTAGGAAGGCTAACAATAAGGGCGATAAATCAAACAATGATATGAGTTTCATTTAACACAGAAAACAAGTATTTCCAGATAACCACACATTATGCAAGATAAACAATTCTGGAAATGGGAAACAATAGAATGAGGCAAAACTAAAATGAAGAAAATTAGATGAAATTTATCAGGACTCAAATATATTGGCAGTCAGAGATACATCAGACAGCCGAGCAATAAGGTGAGATGTGTGTGAATATTGGTGCAAGTTGACACTTCTGACTTATGGAAGAGCCCAGGCTAGCAGCAAACTGCCTTCACTGCATCTCATGGTAGAGCTGGGTGGCTTTGGCCACATTCTTCAAACCTCAGTTTCCTTGCCCCCAAAATTGATGTAATAACAGCTTCTACCTCATGGGGATGCTATAAGAATTAAACGCAAAAACCAACATAAATAAAGGGTTTAGCACAGTGCCTAGCACATTTATGCGCTCAGAGGTCATTATTGCATGAATTTCAAAAGATTAAGGAAAGCCAGATGGTCCCCAAAGAGATGGGAAAAGGAGCTAGATATTATCACTAAGCCTTGGTGATAAACTTTGTAGCTCATGTTAATGCTAGGGCATAAATTGGGTTCTATGAACCATTTTTTTAAATAGTCTAAATTCTAAGTGTAAAGTGATATGAAATCTGTGTGCAAGTCTCCAGTGTAAGGTCTAGTTGTTAAAATAGATATTCAACCCAGGTGAAGTGGCACACGCCTGTAATCCCAGCAGCTCTGGAGGTGGAGGCAAGAGCATAGCGAGTTCAAAGCCAGCCTCTGCAAAAGCAAGGCACTAAGCAACTCAGTAAGACCCTGTCTCTAAATACAATACAAAATAGGGCTGGGGATGTGGCTTAGTGGTTGAGTGCCTCTGAGTACCCCCACCCCCACCCCCAAAATAGATATTTAATGTAGCATGACAAGACTTTATTGCCAAATTGGGACTGGTGAGCATGGGTGAAGGTTCACCTGAGACTTTATTAACCTGAGATCAAGTCACCTGGGCCACCCTAGCTACACTGATTGAAGATTGACTGCGTTATTGCAAGTGGTGAAGACACAGATCTACCTTCTGTGATTTGGCAAAATAATAATAACAACAACAACAACAACAAAATTGGATTTATATTTTTCAGATGCATTCCTTTGACAATTACCAGATGCTAGAATATTGTTGTCTGGGTTTTTCTTTTAAATAGGGATTTGAGTTTGGAATATAGAAATTCCCATGATGAGAGTCCTCTCAGAAAGAACTAATGACCCTTCCTGAATAATGATCCACGCCTGAAAGTTCCTCTCCACCATGTCCATAAAACCCTTCCAATTGGAGATGGCTTCCGCTGCCATTTAGTCAAAATCTAGGCTGTCTCTAATGGACCTTTGTGTAGGTTGTATTTTAGGCCTTATTCATTTATGAATTGAACCAACAGGTAATCTTGTCTGTTCTGAAAGCAAATCTAATCTCTTTGTCCTCAAATTCCAAATATAGTACACTAGTTTATGAAATTATATATGGTCAAGATTTGCATTTTCAGAGTTTTTTTTTTTTTTAAGTAAGGAGAAATGTCTGATTCCAAATACAAATACAGGGAGCCAATGTCCCTGGGGGACTTGAAGTGGTTGGTCTGGGGCTCTCTGTTTGGCCCCTTCATGCAATTAGGTCTGTTTTTACGCCTCTGGTTAGAGTTTGGATGTTTTTCCTTGGCAGAGAAATGTACCATCTATTTTAATGCTGACCTGCGATGTTTCATTCACATTTTAAATCTTTTATCGCCTGTGGCTCCCATGATATTTTCCCTTTTGTTAGCATTTTTTCTGATTGGTATTGATTCTCTATTTTGCCAAAGGGTTAGGAAAACTCCTGCCCTGTTGGCATGATTGCAAAAAAATCTGACTGCTGTTTTTCTCCCCACAAAAGAAGTATCTATAGCCATTTAATTATGTAGTTTATTTTTAAAGCAAGAATGAAAGAACCGGGGATCATCTTTCACTTAAATTCAGCTTAGCATGTTCTCAGAATGTTAAACATTCTCAATTCCTACAGTTATTGAAATGGGAATCCTTGTCTAAAGAAAATGAGTGCATTTATTTGGACTATGTCTATGATTTTATTGTATACTGCTGTATTTTGTGAGATAGAAATAGAGTCCATAACCTTAAACACTGTCAAAAAGAAATAAATATGCTCTGTGGGAAAAATAATAATTCACACAGATTTCAGTCACTGAATAAATTCCCTATCTTCCACTGGACACAGACTGCATATAATGGTGCCTCCAAAACTGTATTAAATGCCCTAATGGAATATTTTCCTGCATTTATATCCAGAAGATACTAAGGTGTTCTCCGGCAATTGATTTTAAGTACAGTAAAAAGTGTTACTAATAAAATCCTAAAACGATAAGCAGGGTTCTATCTAATAATTCATGTAATCAAAGGCCAAAGTAAATGTCTGTATCCAGAGAGAGTTGACCATCTAGATTAGAGAGACATTTCTTTAAGATGGAAGACCCATTCTGGGTCATCCAGAGTTCCAAAGCTCATGATGCCCTCTGCCCCACAACTACCTTCTCTCCACACACACATACCATCTGGGAACCTGGTTTTCTAGAAATCTGAAGCTCTGAAGCTCTAGTTTACTTCATGGCACTTCAGCTGATTCCAAGGCTTCTTTTATGTGGAAGGAATTGCGGGGGGAAGCCTGATGACAGGAAGCCAAAACCTGCTTGAGTGATGATCCCTTTCCACACATGCAAAGGAAACTGTCCATCTGGTCTTTCATTGTTCAATTCCACCCCAAGGAACAGACTCAGATCTCAGTCTCTCTGGGAATAGCTGAAGTTTTCCAACATGGCCCATCCTCCCAGATGCCCCAAACACACACCCACCCACTCCCATGCTTCACATCTATACAGCCACAGCAGGGACATGGAGAGTTGATGCCTATGTTGGCTGTGGGACAGGGCACTGACTCAGATGCCCACGGCACCTCCCCAGCACTGCCTGGGTGGCAGCAAACACCAGGGTACTTCCACTTGGGATGACTCCAACTACTCTGCCAACTGAAGGGATCTCTGGCTCTTCCATAAAGGGAAAAGGAATGAGCATCTGAATTGATAGATCTGGACAGAGCTAGGAAACAAGAAAGAATGTCTCCACCTAGATCTACCAACGGATGGGACTCCCGGTGTGTACACCAAAGCCACAAAAGTGCCAGGATAGAGGTATTATATGTGATGCTTTCCTGCTGTTTTGCAAATTTTGTGTAATGATAGTAACTTAATGGCAGGTTAACATTAACGCTGAGCCTAGCAACCCCATTGGCCTCAGGTACCCCTCTAAAGGACCTTGTATCTTCCCCATCTCCGTGGTTACTTCTGGAAATTCCCAATGACTGCCACATCTACTAGACACCAACTGACCTGCTTTCTCCAGAATGTGGCCTCCTGGAGGAAGCCCATGAGCCAAAAAACAGAGGAGCCACACCCTGGCCTAGGCTGCTATAACCCTGAGAGAGAACACTTTGTTTGACTCACTGTTGGGCATGGCAGATACCACCATGGCTCCTCAGTCCACCAGACATCAACCCTGTTTTCCTGGCAGAAAATGAGAGATGCCCATGTGCCTTAATTAGGACTTAACTCTCATGAGGTTCCACGGGAGAAACTGCGCCCCATTCACATCTACCTGCACCCACTATCTCCATAGGAGTCTTGGATGCTCTCGGTCTTTGGGGAGGATGGGAATTGCCTGGGAGCTTGTTAGAAATGTAGATTACTAGAGATCTGGATACAGGAGCATTGATGAGGGCCCAAGGAATTTGCTTGGAAACAAGCTTCTCAGATGATTCTGAAGCCAGTGGTCTGAATGATCCTGAAAAACATGAGAAAAGCCCACATAGTGATGAGTAACACTGGATTTTATATAAGGAACAGGCAGAAGAGTATTTGGGGAAACTCTATAATAAAGAATGTAATGAGTAAAAATGGTTATTCCATATAGGGCTAAGAGAATAGGAAAGAAATATGAGGCATCAAAATAGCAACCATGGCAAGAAATGACAAGGGAAGGATTGCCCAGGAAATTAACACTGCACTACCCTCCTAGCTTCTTTCCACCCAAACGCAGGGGCTCCAGGAAATAATCCACCAACCCCCTTCCCATTTACAACGTCCTTCTATGCTCTTTTTTCAAACCAGCCAAACACAGCAAGCCGATCATTCTGCTGGAATGATCCACCATATAATGATCCATTTTATGAAGGCATAAAATAACCAGTCTTATGCAAAGCAGTTCAGACACGGCTTTTCTGATCTGTTTTTTTGTTTTGTGTTGGAAACTTAGCTGTTTCTCTAGCTAACTCTCTGCTGCATACCCTCACCCGCCTCACCTCTTCCCATCATTCTTCAACCCAACTTTTCTGATCCATGACCAGGGTAAGGAATGGCCTCAAGGAAAAGAAGAGTGGATTAGGGAGGGTTTGCATTCTTTCAAATCCCAGAGTATTTTAAATTTTCTGAAGTCATTTTTTTTTTCAAAATCTCTGCCAATCCTAAGTAAGGATTAAGATGCCCAATTCTTCACTCTTCTTCCTTTGTGATGAATGTGATAATTGACTCCCCCAAATCCACTCACCTCAGATGACTTCTTCCACCCAATCAGCACAGGGCATTCCTGGACAGTGGCTGTTCAAATTGCATCCAAAGCCAAGCCCAATGGACTAAAGCAATGCTGTTCAGTAGAAATATATTGCAAGCTTTATATGTAACTCAAAATTTTTGGTAGCCACATTTTAAAAAGTAAAAAGAAACAAACGAAATTAGCTTTTTAAATATATTCATGTAGCCTACTATATCTAAAATATCATGATCCAAACACAGTCGATACAAATTTAGGAGATATTTTAACATTCCTTTTTTCCAAATCTTAAAAATTTAGTGGTTTTTGTTTTGTTTTGTTTTGTTTTTTACATTTAGAGCACACCTCACTTGGAATATTCACATTTCAAATGCTTGATAACCACATATGGCTAGCGGTTACCATAACAGACAATGTAGGACTTTAATTCTGTTTTAGGGTGGAATAGAGAGAACAATGAGCTCCATATCCTTCTCTGACTCCTTCTCTTCTTCCTTTAGGATATGCACATTGCCCTTGTGGCTGCTGGCAGCCATCTTATGACCATGAGGAGATTCAGAACTAGATCCCCGCGTCCTTGATCACATAACTAAGCTTTGCTGATCCAGTGTCCGCCTGCCTCTGAACTCCCAGTGATAGGAGATAACACAGTTAATATTTAAGTCCTTTAGAGTCTAGCTTTCTGTTATAGGCATCTGAAGACATGATAATCTATAAACCTTCTAATCCATATTGTAGCCACAAAGAACTATTTCTGATCCTTCTTGTGGCGGATTTGTTTGTTGTATCAAGGAAGTAGGCACAAGCCAAACATATATCTCTTCTAAGCTACAAATCGGGAGAGCCAATAAAACTCTAAGCCACCATGAGTCAGCTTTTTGCTGTTAAGGTCTATTTTGGCTCATGATTTCAGAGATTTCAGTATAGGGTCACTTGTTGCCTTTGGGTGTGAGGTGAGGGAGAATATGATGGTGGGCAGGTGCCTGGCCCACCCTCCTGGTGACCAGGAAGCAAAGAGAGAGAAAGAGAGAAAGAGAAAGGATCCAGGCTCCCAATGTCTCCTTCAAAGGCATCACCCCCGTGGCCTGACTTCCTTCCACCGGGCCCACCTATTAAAGGTTCCACCACTACCATCGGCACCACAGGCTGTGACCAAGTCTTTAGTCTCTGGGATGTTGAGGACATACTAGATCTCAACACAGCAGCCACTTATTTCCCTGAAGAGTCACTACTACTGTGTTTTCTTTGGTTCAAATCATACTGTAGTCTTTCTTAATGAAATTAAGGTAACATTTTATATTAAATATTGTAGAAGCAAAAAAGTAGACGAATTTCCTCTAAGCACTGTGTTTCAAAACAAATCAGCTCACTCTTGGATATAGACATGATCACAATAAATCAAAATTAGTTTGGTCCAACATAAAATCAGATAGTGCAAACTTTGATGGCATTCGATGAACAGGAAGGGCCCCTGCAAAGTCTCAGACCCAGAAGGTGCCTGGAACTCTGAGAATGTGATGCCCAATGAGGTACCTCACCTGGGCTGCGGTACTGCTGGCTGCTCCCTGGTTCTTCCTGCAGAGTCTCCAGGATAGACACAGATAGTCAGCTCTACCTAAAAATGCTCAAAGCATGTACCTTTAAAAAGAAGAAAGATCTTAAATCAGCAACCTAAATTTATACCTTAAGGTACCAGAGAAGGAAGAATGACTAGCTCCAAAGCTAGCAGAAGGAGGGAAAATAATTAAAATTATAGCAAGCAAACAGAACAGAATAGAAAATCAATTTTAAAAATCAATGAGACTGGGGCTGGGGATGTGGCTCAAGCGGTAGCGCGCTCGCCTAGCCTGTGTGCGGCCCAGGTTCGATCCTCAGCACCACATACAAACAAAGATGTTGTGTCCGCCGAGAACTAAGAAAAAATAAATAAATATTAAAATTCTCTCTCTCTCTGTCCCCCCCCTCATTCTCTCTAAAAAAAAAATCAATGAGACTAAAATTGATTCTTCAAATATCAAAAAAATCGACAATCTTTAGATTGACTAAGGGAAAAAAAGACTCCAATAACTAAGTGAAAGAGGGGATATTACAATTGATTTTAGAGAAATTAAAAAAAGATTATGAGAGCACTATAAACAACAAATTGGATGACCTTTGAAGTGGGTCAGTTCCTAGAAATATACCACCTATCAAGACTGACTCATGATGAAACAGATAATTTCAACAGAACTGTAACTACTAAGGAGATTGAATCAGAATTTTTAAAACTTCCAACAAAGAAAAGCCCAGGACCATATGGCTTTCACTGTTGAATTCTACCAAAAATTTAAAAATAATTAACAGCAATCCTCCTAAACTCTTTCAAAAAATTAAAGAGGAAAAAATACTCCCAAACTCATTCTGAGACCAGCATTCCCTTGCTACCAAAGCCAGACAGACACTAGAAAAACAAAATTATAGAACAATACTCTTGATGAATGTTGGTGCAAGAATCCTCAGCGAAGTATTAGTAAACAAAATGCAAAAGATTATACTAACACAACTAAGTGGGAATTATTCCTGCAATGAAATAATAATTAAATCAATTAATTTATCACTTAAACAGAATGAAGGAAAGAAAAGCCTCATGCTTGTCTCAATTGACACAGAAAAAGCATTTAACAAAATTCAATGCTATTTCATGATAAAAATAGTCAATAAAACTACCACAATATAATAAAGACAACGCATGAAAAGCTCACAGCTAAAATCATACTCAGTGGTGAAACACTGAAGCTTTTCCTCTAAGATCGAGAAGACAAGGATGGCTATCATTGCCACTTCTATTCAACATAGTACTAGAAGTCTATGCCAGAGAAATTAGGGGAAAAAATAAACAAATGGCATCTAAATTGGGAAGGAAGGGGTGAAGTTATCTCTGTTCACAAATGACATGGTCTGATCTGATATATAGAAAACAATACAGAATCCACCAAAAATAAAACTCTCTTAGAACTGATAAATAAATTCAGCAAAGTTTGGGATGCAAAAGCAATATATAGAGATCAGTGGCATTTCTGTATACTAACAATGAACAATTTTGGAAAAGTAAATTTAAAAATAATTCATTCCATTTACAATAGCATCATAAGAATAAATAGGTAAACTTAGCTGAAGAGGCAAAAGACTTGTATACCAGAAACTACAGGATATTGCTAAAGAAATTAAAAACACCAATAATAAGTGAAGACATTTCATGTTCATGAATTGGAAGAATTAATATTGTTAAGAAGTCAATGCTATTCAAAATAATTACATATTCAATGTACTTCCTATTAAAATTCCAATGGCTTCTTTTCAGAAATTAAAAATAAAATACTAAAATTCATATGGAATCTCAAGAGATCCTGGACAGCCAAAATTAACTTGAAAAAGAAGAACAAAGTTGGAGGTCTCACACTTCCTGATTTCAAAATATATTCCAAAGTTACAGTAATCAAAACAGTGTGACACTGACATAAAGGAAAACGTAGAGATTACTGCAATAGAGAGCCCAGAAGTACACCCTCACATATGTGCTCAAACATGATCAACAAGGGTGCCAAGAGCTCAACGGGGAAAGGACAGCCTTTCCAATAAATGGAAAATCTGGATATTCACATGAAAAGAATAAAGATGGGCCCTTACCTTATGCCATATAAAAAATTAACTCAAAATGAATCAAAGACCTAAACAAAAGCTAAAATTTTTAGAACAGGGGAAAAGTATCATGCCATTAGATTCAATAATTATTTCTTGGATATGATACCAAAAGCTCTAGCAAAAGAAGAAAAATAAATACATTGGGTTATATCAAAATTTGAAACTTTTGTGTATGGAAGAAAACAATTGATGGGGTGAAAGGCACCACGGGGAATGGGAGAAAATATTTCCAAATTATATATCTGAAAAGAGGTTAATTCCAAATATATAAAGAATTCCTACAAGTCAGCAATCAAACCCCAAATAACCAATTTAAAAAAAAAATAGGCAAAGAACTTGAACACAGACTTCTCCAAAGAAAATTCAGAATTGGCCAGGTACACAAAAGATGTTTATCACCAATTGCTGTGTCTAAATGCCAGAGTCGTCCCCCCAAAAAACACATGTTTGAATCTTAATCCTAAAGCCATGGTATTAGGAGATAGGACACTTTAGGAGAAAATTAAGTCATGAAAGCAGAGCTCTCAAAAATAGGATTAGTATCCCTATAAAATAGGCCAATGGAGTTCTTTTCATCCCTTTCACCACATGATGATACATCAAGAAGCTACCATCCTTGAGAAAGTGGGCCTTTGCTAGGCACCAAACATGCCCACAATATGACCTCAGACTTCCTAGCCTCCAAAACTATGAGAAAGTAGATTTCTGATGCTATGAGCTACCTAGTTTATGGCATTTTATTATAGTAGCGAATGGACTAAGACACTAATCATTTGGGAAATGCAAATCAAAACCATAATAAAATATTCCCTCTTGCCCATTGGGATGACTACCATTTTAAAAAAAAACATAATAACAAGTGTTGGAAAGGATAGGAGAAATTGGAACCCTTGTGCACTGTTTGTGGAAATGTAAAATGTTGCAGCCACTATGGACAACACTATGAGCTTCCTCAAAAAGTTAGAAATAGAATTACCAGGTCCTTCACAATTCCATTTCTGAGTATATATTCAAAAGAATTGAAAGTGAATATCAAAGAGAGATTTGTATACCCATGTTCACAGCAACATTATTTACAATAGCCAACAGGGAGAAGCAGCTTGTGTCTAGCAACAGATAATAGACAAACAAAATGTGGCATATACAGACAATGCAATAGTATTCAGTCTTAATAGGAATGGAAATTCTGCTGGATACAGTGCGCATGCCTATAATCCCAGCAAATGGGGAGACTGAGACAGGAGGATTGCAAGTTCAAGGCCAGTTTCAGCAATTTAATGAGACCCTGTCTCAAAATAAAATAAAAAGGGCTGGTTATGTCCTTCAGTGGTAGAGACCCTCTGGGTTCAATCCCCAGTACTGAGGGAAAAAGAGTAGGTGGGAGGGAGGGGGGAGGAGGGAGGGAGGGACAGAGAGGCAGAGAAAGAGAAAGAGAAAGAAAGAAGATGGAAGAAAATTCTCACTCATGCCACAAATGCATGACTGGGATGAACCTTGACATTATATTATGTGAAATAAGCTGAGGTCAGATTCATGAAGACAGAAAGTAGAATGGTTGATGCACTGGACCAAAGTCATGGGGAGTTATTGTATCATGGATATGGAGTTTGAATTTTGCAAGATGAAGAGTTCTGGAGATGGATGATGGTGAGGGCCCTGCGACAATGTGTACTTAATGCCCCTGAATTGTACACTTAAAAATAGTGACAAATGCTGAATTTTATATTATATGTAATTTATCACAATTCTTTCAAAAGTTCGTCTTAGTTCCCATAAGACTCTCTCAGCATAATTCAAGACGTCTTTTTCAAATATAAAACTTTGCTTTGCATTTTAACAGTTACCCGAGTGGAGCACCCCTTTAAAACATGAAAGAGCCCAGATGAGATGGTTTTACTGACTCCAGAGGGAAGCAATGTCGTTCTCAAACATGCATTATTTCCTCTGGGAAATGTGAGACCTTTGACTCATCAATATCTCCTTCATATCCATGTACTTTGTTGAAGACGGATTACAAGGTGGGCACCAAGAATACAAGGAAGTCCTAGAGTTGAATCTAACAGACAGTCTTATGTTAAGAACCTACAGGAGCTAGACATCGAAGTCTGAGTGGAATTTGCCAAGAGGCAAAGATAGGAAATGATATTCTCTGAAGTAGTAAGACCCTGTGCCAAGCCATATGCCTGTGAGAGGATGGGGCCCATCCTAGGAACTGGGAGACACCTCAATGGGGGCTGAAGTACTGGATACCTGGTGTGGCATACTGGAAGCATGAAGCCAGGGAAACAGGTTTCCAGCTCCTTCTCTTCCTTATTCTCACTTAAACAAGCTGGCTTTCTGATTATAAAGTTACCTCAGGGCACCTTATATGAAGTTCAGCAGTGAGAGAATCTTGAATTTGAAAGTCTCTTTGTTCTTAGATAAAGACTCAAGGGCAAGCACCTTAGGCCAAGCAAGGAAAAGGCCTGCACACCCACCACCACTATCTTCTCCCAACTTCATAGCAGACATGACTAATCAATGACTGCACTTTTTTGGGGGGAGGGGGTACTGGGGATTGAACTCAAAGGCACTGGACCACTGAGCCACATCCTCACCCCATATTTTGCGTTTTTTAAATTGATTTTTTTAAAAAAAAAAAATAAATGACAGCAGAATGCATTACAATTCTTATTACACATATACAGCATAATTTTTTATATCTGTGGTTGTAAATAAAGTATGTTGGCACCAATTCGTGTCTTCATATATGTACTTTGGATAATGATGTCCACCACATTTCACCAACTTTGCTAATCCCCTGCCTCCTCCCTTCCCCTCCCATCCCTCTGCCATATCTAGAGTTTGTCTATTCCTCCCATGTTCCCCCTCCCTATCCCACTATGAATCAGCCTCCTTATATCCAAGAAATCAACCTAGAGGCCCTTCAGTAAATGAATGGATAAAAAAAGTGGAATTT